TGAGTTTTATTTCTTTATTTTTAGACTAATAAATTTTTGGGCCCTGTGTTTTTAATCTAGACGTTTCTAGAAATTTGCATTTAGTCGTACGGCTGTGGGGGGGGGGGGGGGGAGGTCCTGTGGATACTTTTATTCCCGGAGAATTACTCTTCATATATCATAATGGCATCATATGAGGTTCATAAAAATCCAGGGTGGAAATTTGAAACCCGGCAATAAGAGATAAATTCAAGATGGCCGCCAATACTGTCGCCGAGAGGGGCAAATATCCAGAACTCATGATCTAGAGCAGATAACACAATGATTTTGGTGTCTAGATATAGGTTTTGGAGGTCAAGGAAACAACTGGCAACATTGATAACAAAATTAGTCCTGAGCTATTTGATAAATTCGAGATGGATGCCAATATGGCCGCCACAAGAAGTAAGTAGCCATATGTTACGTTCTAGAGTAGATATCAAAATGGTTTAAGGTGTCAAGATACAGGTTTTGGGGGTCAAGGAATCCACTTATGATATCAAAAATAAAATTAATCCTTAACTTTCTGATAAATTCAAAATGGCCACCATCACATGCAATAAAGTGCCTTTTATGAGACAACGCTTTCCAGGGATATGTTTTGTGAGTTTTATTCAAGCTGTCTAGTTCATGTGACTTGAACTTTAATAAATGTTCAAACTATTTCAAAAATATGCCCAGATATCAATAAAGCAATATAAAAATATTAACACAATGACTACCACAAAGAAAATGTATCTTGTTTTATTCATTTGTTGTTAGAATTACTCCTAAGGAGTAACTGGTCTATTTCTTTTGTCATAATTTAATAAAAAACAATGATTTTCCCTTATTTATGTCATTACTAATTCACTATATGTAGCAGAGACAACCATTTCAAGAAGCCTAATACTATCCTTTAACCATTTGCAATGAAAATTCGAGGATTTACCTCTCAAGAGGTATGTACCCTGTAGTGTCTCCTATACCTACTCTCAAGAGGGATGTACCCTGTAGTGTCTCCTACAACACCTATCAAGAGGTATGTACTTTGTAGTGTCTCCTACACCGCTTCTCATCCAGAGTTTTTCAGTCAATGACGTTGAAGCAAACTGAAATAGTGAATGTCCAGGTCCAGAACATCTGTATCATTGGATAGTATGACAATACGTTGTGTCATTTCTTGTGCTGCATGGGGTATCAGCCTGACATCAGCTTGCAGGTCTGGCTATGATAAGCCTACCACTGTAATGGGCATGTATCCCATGTAATGGGGTGTAGGGGACACTACAGGGTACATACCTTTTCGCACCCTATCTCACAAGTTAGGAACAGAAATGTGCAAAGTTTTGCCTGCCCTGCATGTGTTAACTGGGTGTGACCCAACTAGTAAAGTAGGCACTAAAGTAAACCCATTAGCCTATTTGAAGGATTTTGGAAAGAACTTGAGTCATATGGAGGCTTCACTCACCAAAGCTGTTGTCAAGTAGTGTCCCCTACAAAGGTGTATTTTGTACAGGTATTTACAAGTGGTGTCCCCTACAGAGGAGTATTTGGTACAGGTATTTACAAGTAATGTCCCCTACAGATGAGTATTTGGTACAGGCATTTACAAGTGGTATCCCCTACAAGACGATGGCTTCGTTATTACAAATATTACAGTTCAAAGAACATAACATTTGCTGAGCTGCCACCAACCAGCTTTGTATAAGAGGGCATATGTTAAGTGCGTTCTGTGCTACATGTTGTGGACAAGCCTCATCAAGAGTATGGCTTCGAGGAGGAAAATGGACTGCTTGTACCAAATATGTGCAAGCGGGTAGTGCCAGATAATCTACCTCAGAATCGCACATGCACAAAGTGTGCTACCCGCCGCTGCTTATGCCGTAATCAGGGTATACCACCATGCTGCATTTACTGTAAGTGTAAAGTATTCCAGTTAGATGGAACAGTTTTCAAAGTCCTAATATTGTTTTAAAGGTGTCCTGTGACAATGCCACCATCAACAT